ACATTTTCCCATTTTTCTTTGTTTTGGCTCTAATCTTGCACATTTCGCTCCCTATTGCCTCCGGATGATTCCTACATATAAAAACACCACGAATTAACATAAATCAATATATTTTACATCCGGAATATACGAAACACGAGTAAAATATGAGACGATATACATATAAATATATATACTTCAAGCTAAATATCAACACCTCACACTTAGACTCTTGCTCGTCCTCGAGCAATGAGACTATCAACTACACCCCAACTTCATACACATCTCAACTAGAGGGGAACACTTTAATTTTTAACCATACACGCTACCCTTGACTATGATCGACACCGGCAATCAAGCATGAACATACAAAATTCACCTTCTTCCCATTTTAAACATGCTCAATTATATCTATTTCAATCCAATTAATTCAAACAACATATCCATAACCACCCTACCTCAAGAGCCGACTCGTTACCACTAAACACCCTCAACTCACGCACTCACCCAACAAGAGAAGTCTACAACATTACCAATCCTTCATGAGATTATGTGCCCTCACCAACAAACAAAAGAGTGAATATAGAATAGTCCACACATTCAAGTATTCCTTTGAATATAATTTAAGGACATCACACAATTGAACAAAATTCGCTCACTCTCACAAAGAATTCATGTGTATCCCGTGGTCATACCATAAGTTTGCCCGTAGTGTACATCTCGACTAATCTAAGCTAGTCAAATCTAGGATCAATTAGGACTTTAAGGTTGTAATGTAGGCTAAGGGGCGGGTAGGATACATTTAGGAATAGTGACTAACCCTCCTAAGAACGTTAATACACTACACTTCACAAATCGAGCACATATTCTTCTGAACCAATTCTCTCTCCACAAACCATATACAACATAGCCCTTTTTTCAATTAAGCACTTCTATACTCCCACTAGCACAAATTAGTAAGATTAGGAGGTGTATGTTTTTCTACATTATTTGATTGTTATTTTTTTTTCTTTTTCTTTTTTTTTTTCCTACATACACTCCATACATTAAGGTTCATCGGCTAGTGACCTTTTTTTCCACAATTTTAGTGCACCTTAAGGGCCCTTCCATGGTTTCACTCAAAAGCTACTCCCCAATCTCTCACCTTACTTCTTTTAGAGACTAAGTGTCTTAGGAGGTAAAGGTTCAACAATCTCAAATTAAGAACAAAATAGGGGTATGGCTTGTAATGTGGGTGACAAGGAAAAGGTCTATATGCTCAAGGGGCAAACAACGGAAAATTTTATTTTTACGTGACAAGCACATCTATGATCAAGCAAGAAACGCCTACGTCATCTCCCAGATTAACACCACTTAATGATTTGGCATCGATTAACACACAAGGCAAGTTCTAGACTACACAGGATAGCACAGAAGATCACGATACCTCACACACATATTGCACATGACTCAATTAGGACGGTTCTGTTCAACTCTCAAGTCAAGCAGGCACATATAATTGAGAAATTTAAGCAATAATGCACTATGCAGCATACAAGTCGAACAACTGAGAAAAGACGTCACAAAATAGGCTATTTATTTTACTCAGGCATCACAATTCAAATCAAATGTATGGGAAGATAGAGTGCATGTTATAGCCTAATGTGCCAGCACCAAACACGTCAATAGTTACCTCAGAGTAACTCAGTTTCTTCCTAACCTACTCCTAAAAAAAAGTATCTGGTTCGAGCTACACTCTTGGAAAAGAACCGGCGCCCAAAGAAAAACCAAGGGATACTACCTAACTATCCTAAAATGAAACAAAAGAAAATCTTTGTCGTATTTTTAGTCGGATTTTATCCCTCAAGAAAATTGTCTAACAGATCCATCATCGGGAAAAGTCCGAGCTTTTTTCTTTTTTTATATTTGTACTTTTTTTCTAAAAGAAATTAAACTAAGTAAAAACTAATAAAAAGAAATAAATTGATGCAATTTATACAAAGTACATCACAAGAAGTAGTTCTCTCACCCCACACTTAGCATATGCATAGTCCCCGATGCGTGTGAAAATGTAAAACAGAGTAGGGTGAAAAGAAAACTCCCTGCTAGTCAGAGTCCTCCTCCTCAGCATTCCACCATCCATAGATCTGGGGTCATCATCATCATCAGGTCCCATGGGCACCAAAGCCATGGGCCCCGTGACATTATCACCTATCTCATCCTCCGTGTCGGAGCCTATATAAGTGTTCTCGTCCTCCGACGAGTGAACAGGGCTGTCAGGTGCAATCCCCAACATCTCTTTGGAAAAACTAGACAAGTCATTGCGTAAATGCATGCGCTCCTCATCTGATACTCCCATCCTGCTCATGAGTACATTTAAGGAGTTATAAAGATACATGTTGAAGTTCTCTTCTCTTTCGTTTCGTGTTGCCTGAGTGAGATTAGACATAGTCTCCAACAAGGATGTGATGGTCAACAGCCCTGTAAGAGCCTCCACTACCTCGTCATACCTGGGGTATTCCGGCACCTCCCAGGAGAGCATATACTGCATGAGCAAGTTGCCAAAGAAAAACTTCTTCATTTGCCGCCCAAATTAGGACATCTCCCTCAGCATGATCTCGCCCACATTAATGGGTCTCCCAGTCATCAAAAAGAATATCCACACACTTGAGCTCGAGTGCATTCGTTGTTGTGTTCAACTGGCATGAGTCGGGCCTGCACGAAATTCTGCCACACTTTGGCGGTCTTGTTCAAATCAGAGCAAACCATCTCAAGGTGGGCATCGCCCTTAGTTCTGGTCCACTTGGCATTTGAATCGATGCCACATAGAGTGTGACGTATCACCGTGTAGCTTGGGCTTTTTACAAATTTTTGTAGCCTCCGAGGATTAGAGTTTTCAACTCCCAAAAATTCACATAAGGACCACCTATCCAATGGCACGTCCTTTCCACTGATATATGATCTGAACAAGTGAGCATTCCAGCTGGCGTACAATTCCCGCACCATGCTTAAATTTGCATGGCCGGGGCATTCTATGAGTTTGTCCAATGGCAATTCTTGCAACCGGCCAAGCACGTCCAGGAAGTTCCTTTCCAAATCTTTTACATTAATGCCCATCTCGGAGATGTAGCTCCCATACGGCACAAAGGTATTATTCCATCGGATGGCGTCATCACTCACTAGATCCAAGCGAGACCTTGGCCTCGCTGGGGCCATCGTTGATTCGTCGGCAACTTGTTTCCCTTTTTCTTGCCTAGATGACCCTTCCCCTTGCTTGCGCTTTTTGGGCAGGGGGCAGTGGTGGAGGACTTTCCTATTCACTTGCCTTTGTTTGCATTATCACGAGACATAGCAAGCCTACAACACAAATAAGCTTGAATGTGAGAACAAATCAAGAAAGCCGCCTAAGGTTATTGTGCGAGTCAAAAATGCACTCACACTTAAAACCGAAGGCTCAATGTATTATACTCACAATTGTGGTTTAAAACGCACAAGTGTTGCACCACAAGGCAATGAGTACTCAAGACTTCTCCATGCCGTACAATAGCTAAAAGGCACTAACTATGCCTTACAAACAAGTGATTGATTATGGAGAAGTGATTTAACCTCAATGCAAGCAAGTGGCATATGGTACTTAATTTCTACAACTACTACACTAAATTAGCTAATTATGCAAAGTGCTACAACATACATAATACAGGATACATGGTGTGGGCGCCATGTGTACATTAAAACCAAGCTCCCAAGTATGTAAAATCATCCCCACACACTCCACACTTATCCCAATATCATATACAACTACACTCGGTTACTCAGACTTCACCAGTGCACAAAATATTCATTCAAATATTTTAACAAATACCTTGTGGGCACGAAGTGTGTGCAACTTAATATAACAATGGTGGAACATGGTGACCCTCCAAAATTTCAACAAAGTAGAGGAAATTGTAGTTTACTTCTCCGTATACAATACAACCACAAACCAATTTTGTCCCACATTTGGGCCACCTACCATAGAACAAGTCTTAAGAAGCAACTTAGGGCAAAATTTGGGGATTAGGGCATTTGGGAGGGGGGATATTTATTATCATCTACCAATTAAAAGAAGAAGAAGAAGAAGAAGAAGAAGAAGAAGAAGAAGAAGATGAGGAACATACCTGTAGGATTTACGATGAGAGCAAGAGAGAAGCTTGAAAAATTTGAGAGAGAGAAGGGAGAAGAAGCTCGACAGAAGCTTGAAAGAGGGAAAGAGTTACGTGAGTGAGAGAGAAAAATAGAGTTAAGGTGTTGGAATTATGTTTTAATTTAAGATGGGTATGGTTATGGATTGTAAGGTAGGTTATAATGTTAGAATATATGGGTATATGGGTCGGATTTTATGGGTATGGGTATGAACCTAATAAACAAAAATTAAAAATAAAAATAATTTATTTTTTACTTACCTGCACCCCCCAGCCCAGCGCCCCACGCTAGGCCTGGAGCTAGGGGGTTTCCACATACCGTAAAGTGCGTCACAGGTGGCGTGGGGCGCTGCCTGTGGCACTAGAAATTCGATTTTCTAATTTTTTTTTTAAAAAAAAGCCCGACCCCCAGCCCCCCGAGCACTTTATATATCCAATATACCCACACCATCCTACCTATAACTTCTATGTCTAAAAAAACATATCCAGTCTACTCTAACTAAAAATTTAAAAACTAGACTATGAAAGCAATAAAAATTGGGTTGCCTCCCAACAAACGCCTGATTTAACGTCGCGACACGACGCAGGACCTCGTTTACTCATCAGCGAGTACTACTTTGGCCTTCTCACGATCAATGATTCCTCCCCAATAGTGCTTGACTCTGTGTCCATTCACTAAAAAATTTCTTTCACCATGTAAAGCACGGAGCTCAACTCCACAATAAGGAGTGACTCTCACCACCTCAAATGGACCTAACGTCTCGATTTTAACTTCCCAGGAAACAACTTGAGCCTAGAATTGACCAATAGTACCTGTTGGCCCGGTTCGAAGTGACGTGGCTTGATACGCTTGTCATGCCATCATTTCGTTTTCTCTTTGTACAGCTTAGCATTTTCATAAGAGTGCAGCCTGAACTCATCTAACTCATTCAAATACAAGATTCTCTTCTCGCCTGCGGCTTCAGGGTCCATATTCAACTTTTTAACGGCCCAGTACGCTTTGTATTCAAGTTCAACAGGCAAGTGACATGCCTTCCCATAAACAAGCTTATACGGCGACACCCCAATTGGTGTTTTGTATGCAGTTCTATATGCCCACAAGGCATTATCTAACTTTGCAGCCAAATCCTTCCTATTCACACTCATTCTTTTCTCTAATATTTGCTTTATTTCTCTGTTGGACACCTCAACTTGTCCAATTGTCTGCGGATGATATGTCGTGGCAACTCTATGGCAGACCCCATATTTTGCTAGAAGGTTATTCAACGACCGATTGTAAAAATGTGTCCCTTCATCACTAATCAAGGCACGTGGAGTCTCAAACCTCGAGAATATGTTCTTCTTGACAAACGCAGCTACCACCATGGCATCATTTGTTGGTGATACGATCGCCTCTACCCATTTTGACATGTAGTCAACTTCTAGCAAGATATATTTGTTTCCTCTGGATAATGGGAATGGTCCCATAAAATCTATCCCCCACACATCAAAAATCTCGACCTCCAGGATATTATTCAAAGGCATCTCATGCCTCTTTGTGATTATTATTGTTCTTTAACACTGGTCACACTTATTAACAAATGCATGAGCGTCCTTGAAAAATGATGGCCAAAAGAACCCAGATTTTATTACCTTTGCAGCTGTCTTATCACCTTCATGATGGCCCCCATAAGGTGAGGCGTGACAATCATACAACACTAATTCCACCTCCTTTTCTGGAATGCATCTCCTGATCAACTTATCAGCACACTGCTTGTACAAGAATGCTTATCCTAGTAGTAGAAGTTCACATCATGTAGAAACCTCTTTCTACCTTCAGATTTGATTTCGGGAGGAAGTACCCCCACAGTTCACATATCTGCATACCATAGGGGAGGGTCTTGGGTGATAGCAAAAAGTTGCTCATCAGAAAATGCCTCTTTAATTTGTCCACCCTCTTCCACGTGGTCATGATTTTCTAGCCTTGATAGATGATCCGCTACTTGGTTCTCTGTGCCCTTTGATCTTGTATTTCTACATAAAATTCCTGCAACAACAAAACCCAGCGCATCAATCTAGACTTGGATTCTTTTTTTGTAAATAGATACTTGATTGCTGCATAATCGATATGGACTCTGACTTTTGTTCCCACCAAATATGCCCAAAATTTCTCAAAGGCCCACACAACGGCTAACAACTCATTTTCAGTGGTGGTGTAATTCAGTTGTGCATCATCAAGAGTCTTACTCGCATAGTAGATGGAATAAAATATATTGTCCTTCCTCTGGCCTAGCACTGCCCAATAGCATGGTCACTTGCATCACACATAAGTTCAAATCGTAAGGACCAATCCGGTGTTGCAATAATAAGGGCAGCCACCAACTGCTTTTTGAGCTCTTCAAATGCCTTAAGGCAGGCTTCATCAAAATTGAAAGTTACATCCTTTCAAGCAACCTGCACAAATGAGTACCAATTTTTGAAAAATCCTTAATAAAGCGTCTATAGAATACCGCGTGTCCCAAGAAACTCCGGACCCCCTTCATAGAAATGGTGGAGGTAATTTTTTAACCGCCTCCACCTTCGCCATATCAACTTCAATGCCGCTCTTTGACACTCTATGACCTAATACAATGCCTTCTTGCACCATAAAATGGCACTTTTCCCAATTCAACACTAGATTTATTTCTTCACAACGGGCCAACACCTTGCCCAAATTCTTCAAACAATCATCATAAGAAGACCCAAAGAATGAAAAATCATCCATAAAGACTTCCACAAATGTTTTCACCATATTAGTAAAAATAGCCATCATGCACCTCTGGAAAGTGGCAGGTGCATTACAAAGACCAAACGGCATTCGCTTGACAGCAAAAGTGCCATAAGGACATGTAAAAGTGGTCTTCTTCTGATCCTATGGGCATATGACAATCTGGTTGTATCCCTAATAACCATCAAGAAAGCAATAATATTCATGCCCCGCCAATCTGTCCAACATTGGGTCAATGAATGGAAGTGGGAAGTGGTCTTTACGAGTTGCTTTGTTTAGCCTTCTGTAATCAATGCAAACTCTCCACCCCATCACAGTGCGAATTGAAATTAGCTCATTTTTATTATTCTCTACCACGGTCATCTTCCCCTTTTTGGGCACACATTGCACTGGGCTTACCCAGTTGCTGTCTGAGATAGGAAAGATGATGTTACACCCCATGTATTCGTACGTAAGAGTACGTCTTAAGTCAATCGATGTAAGACAAAAAATAAGATCATATTTGAAAGTATATAAAGTAAGTTATCATGTTACCTCGGATGTTACATATATTGAAGATCATGAACAACAAGTACAAAGAGGGTTTGAAGGTTTAGAAGCTAAGGAATTGAACAAAATAATGTTTCGCCGAAAGTCAACAAGTTGGGAATGTTATAACATGTACTTTTGGGGTGATACTAGGGTGCTTAACATGATAAGGGGGTTATGTTATGAGTTATATTAGTCGTATGATAGTCGTATTCTATGTTTTGAAGTGAAGCGAGTTGTGGAACAAAAGTCGATGAAAGTCATCACAAGTTACGTTTATAAGTTTTACTGAAAATTTGGGTCAAATATAAATGCAATTTTCTCCCAATATACTTAGAGTTATTGTGTGTTCCGCCCATTAAATTGAAGCTCTGTGAGTCCAATTTCTAACACATTAAACCGTTTTTGTCAATACGACATCAGAATAGAGAGATATATGTATTTTTGCGAGACTGCGCAGGCTGCTAGGTGACAAGTAGGTGTGTCACCTACTTGCTTAAATGAGAGTCCAAAAAGGGGCTATTTCGGGTCGGCCAAAGAGCCCAATTTAAGGGATTATCTCCTGAAATATAACACCCATTACATAACATAATATAAATCCTTGCAAACATCCTCCCAAAAATTTTCCACAAATCCTAATTGATTTTTTCTCCCTTTCAAGTTCTAATTGAAGGTAAAACCTAGAGTTTGAAGAACCAAGATAGGAGATGATTTATCCAACAAATAAGGTAATTTTACTGCTCTCTTTCATCTATTTTTTCTGCTGTAAATTCATGGTAAGTCGTTCTATATTTGTAAGAACTCACGGGACAGTGATCGGAAGCCGTGAGTTCGAGTTATTCACTTGTAGCGGATTGTTTTGTGGATTGTTTTGTGTTGCTGTTGGGATGCGTGTTATTACTTTTTTGCAGAGTTTGGAGGAGGAAGGGTGTGGAGAAACAACACATAAATTTAGGGTGGTGGGTTGGTCATTCGGCGTAACATTTTTAGGCTGTTTGACACTACTACGGTGGTCGTTTTGTGTTTGAAGAGATTGGGGTGTGTAGGGATGTTTTGTATTTTGTGTTGTATATAAGGTTGAAAAATAATGTATATATGTTGTTATTGTTGTGTTCTTGTGTTGTTGGTGTTATCTTGAATTTGGAGGAAGTAAGGATTATAGGGGAGATGCTGCCCGTTTTAATACAAAATAAGCTTATCGTTTGTTATGCGATAGTTGTACCTTTCGTAACTTAGTGATAGTAATTATTATCATTTTTGTAGATTAAGGTGCGAAGAGGCGATTTCAACTTGGTGATTGGAAAGATTGTGATAAGCTATATTATGGCTAAACCTTTTCTTCATTTTGACATGATCCAGTAACTACATGTGTTTGATAACGAGACATAAAGAGAAGTTCATATTCTTGAATTTATGTACATTGTCCTAGTCTCATAAGTTATAGCATTCTCCCTCATAGGGACTTCATATTCAGTTTAGTTTTGTCTTCTTTCAGCCAATAGAGTAGAGTCTATATATATACAGTATTATAGTATTTTCACCACCAGCAAGCTATAATCGATGGGCAGGCCCCTATTGGGCAACCTCTGATCAGATGGTAAGTTATATACCGAGCCTACTGTGGTCGAGCGCCTATGAGCGAGCCTACAATGGTTGAGATATAGAGCCTAGTATGGCCAATCGCCTATGAACGAGCCTACTACGGCAGAGCAGTTACACATACCGAGCCTTATAAGGCCGGACAACTATTTTACTTACTATATTAAGAGAGATAAGTTAGTATCAGCAGGTAAGCATATCTTTAGATTATCTTTGACTCCCAGTTACTTTCAGTTTTTATATTATCATTTAGTTTCAGCTTTCAGTTATTATGTTGCCTTACATGCTCGGTACATTATTTCGTACTAACGTCCCTTTTGCCGGGGACGCTGCATTTCATGCCTGCAGGTCCTGATTTACAGTTGGACAGACCCCCCAGCAGACAGCGTCAAACATCAGCTTGGTTGGTAAGCTCCACTTTCTCAGAGTTACCAGGTCTAGACCTTGGAGTCCATTTTATATATACAGCTTTGATGGGTAGGTCGAGGCCCTGTCCCGACCATGGTACAATTCAATTATCTCTAAAGGCTTGTAGACGAGTCCTGTATAGTTTGTATATCAGTAGATGGTCATGGCAGCCTCGTCAGCCTGCACAGTTATATATATATATGTATATATATATATATATATATATGAGCTTTTGGGTATATTTACCCCTCATATGAGAGAGACGACATTTTCAGATGATTCAGAATATGGCCTCATCGGCCTAAGTTGAGGGTTACCCCTCTAGAGTTCACAATGAAGAGTGGTACGCTCGGGTCGAGTATGGCACCGGGTGCCGGTCACGCCTCTTCAAGTTGGGGCGTGATAGATGATACATGTATCGAGTCACTTAATTACTCATTCTTCATGACCTTTTTCATAATGGGATTTAATCTTTTTTGTTGCTCAACACTGGGGCGGTGTCCATCTTCCAAAAAGATTTTATGCATGCAAAACGATGGAATGATTCCTTTGATATCAGCAATTGTCCACCCAATAGCCTTTTTATGCTCGCGAAGTACTCTGAGCAATTTTTCTTCTAGCACATAGGTCAAGCTGGATGAGATAATCATTGGCAATGTCTCAGAGTTCCCCAAATAAGCATAGCACAAATGCACTGGAAGGGATTTAAGTTCTAGCTTTGGTGCTTCTTCAATAGATTGCTTAGGAGGGATCAGAGTGACAGGCCTGTCCAACTCCTCAAATCTCCCAAACCCATGGACATAATTGCTGGACATGTCAAGTACTTTCTCAATTTCTCCCATCATCTCATCTTCATTGTCTTCTTCATCCCTAATCAAAGCTCGTTCAAGTGGATCTATGGGGCTCATATACGGCACCAATGACGTAACATCACTTTCCACCACAGAAATCATGGATAGATCTTCATAGTAGGCTGGCAATTTGAGTGCTTTATACACATTGAACACCTCCACTTGGTCACCCACTCTCATCGTAATCTTACCTTCACATACATCAATTATAGCTTGGACCGTGGCTAAGAATGGACGCCCCAAAATAAAAAGGACTTCCTGATCAGGCTCTTAGTCCAAGATAATGAAATCAGTAGGGAATATGAAAGAATCCACTTGAACTAACACATCTTCAATTACACCTTCAGGATGAGCAAGGGAGCGATCAGCCAATTGCAAAATCACCGTGGTTGGGCGCGGCTCACCCAACCCCAACTGTCTGAACACAGATAGCGGCATCAAATTGATGCTCGCTCCAAGATCATACAAGGCTTGCCCGACTGTGTGCTTACCAATCGAGATTCGGATAGTGAAACTCCCTGGATCCTTCAATTTTTAAGATAGCTTGCTTTGAATTCTTGAGCTGTATTCCTTAGTGAGTGCCAAAATCTCGAACTCGGTCAACCTCATTTTATATGCCACTATGTCCTTGATGTATTTAGCATATTTGGGCACTTCTTGCGGGATGTCTACCAGTGGAATATTGATTTGCACCTACTTCAAAATATCAAGAAACTTTTTATAAGCGGCATTATCCTTCACCTTCTGCAATCTCTGAAGGAATGGAGATGGTGGCCTCGCAACTAATGGTGGGGGTTGCTTAGCCACCACCTCTTCAGGTGGCTTCTCTGACTCCTTTGATTTTTTTGATTCTGCTTCTATGGTGGCCGGTTTCTCATGAGAGGTCACTTGTTTTCTCTTTTTCGACTAGACTTTTTCTAACTATATCCCATTCCTCAATGACACGACATTAATAGGTGCCCTAGGATTTGCCTCAGTGTCACTTGGAAAGGCTCCAACTGGTCGAGTATTTTGGGCACTGGCAAGTTGCCATATTTGTCGCTCCAAATTTTGGATTGCTGCAATGTGAGTTTCTGCTTGAGCTTGCTGGTCAGCCATTAATTTATTCATCATCTCCTCAAGGTGACTCGTCGGGTTTGCAGGTTGTTCAGCCTGAGGTGGCTTATATTATTGTTGAGGTGTTTGTGGCTTGTACTGATTTTGAGCACCTTGGTTTCCACCCCTAGAGAAGTTTGGGTGGTTCCTCCAGTTAGGATTATAAGTTTTCCAATACTGGTTTGTCTGGCCCTATTTTCATTACCCACAAAACAGACAGACTCTGGATTAACTACGCATAAGCCGCTCGTGTGACCCTCTCCACATACCTCACAAAATATTTGAACATGTTGCACTGGCTAGGCTTGTTGCTTTTTGATAACCAATGTCATCTGATTGACTTGATTGTCCAATGTCACGACCCAATTCTATTATAGGTCGTGATGGCGCCCAGCGCCGCCGCTAGGCAAGCTACCAGTGAACTAACCACGTAATTTCTCTTTTTAATAGATTTCCATGTAATTAAACTCCCTAAGCTTGAAAAATTTAAGAAATAACAGATTTAGAATTAGATAAAATGAAAGCAGCTGAGTGTAATCATAACCATAGCAATAAACCAAAACCATAAGTCTATTAATGTGTATTCCAAGACCTGGTGTCACAAGTGTA